TGTCACTATCCACCCTCGCATCATAAAGCTGGTGCCCAACTAAGGCCATCTTTTTCTGGAGGGTATCCCTCTTAGAGGTTATCTCTCTCACGTGCCATTTGAGTTCGAGGACTTCGGAGTCTGGCTCGGAGCTCCTCCCTTAGCAGGGCACCTTCTTTCTCAAACAGCACGAATCAGATCCATGTCAAAACACTGGGATCTGGCAAACATTTAGACAATAGCAAATGGAAACTAGTTAACCTGTTCAACAAGATGAGCCTTCTCACGCCCATGTCGGGTGAAAGTCTGATTATAAAGTGCCCTAGCCTGAAGCCATGAAATAGACAAGTTAGAAAGACAAAGATCAGGACGACATGCAGGATTTACAAAAACTACCTACTCACAAAGCCTACTCATCTCGCTGAAGACGAGTGAAACATCGAGTTTGGGAACCCCCTAGGGAGCGGCTAAAGGCCTTTCAAACGCATCTCTATCTCCGATAGGCACCCCCACATCAGAAGGTTCTTCATTTGGGGTATCTTGTGTTCCCTTAGGAGGTAAGGTCGTTCCTTAAGGGGAATCACTCATGACAACACCAGCAGGGTCAGTCGGGGCCACCCCTTGTCCCTGCAGGGCTTCAGAACTGGGTTCCTCCGAACCACCTACCGAATGCATCCCAGCGCGAGGGATATTTTGGCCATGAGGGTTACCATCTCTACGGCATGAGGGTCGATCAGGTTTTCCCCTCCCTAGGACGCTATCAAGAAATTATTTTCCCCATCGCCTTCAACTCGGGGACTTTCCGCTGCTTCTGGAGTTAGGGCTGCCGGGTCGGCCTTAGTTTCTTCCACCTTGATCTTCTTGGATTCCGAAGGTTCATTTGACGGTTTCCTTTGTATTTTTTTCCCTTTATCGGGTCCTGAGGTACCCTCTTCACCAAGCGATGTTCCCTTCATCAAGGGGACCTTCTCCAAACCTACATGAATGCAAGAGGTAAGAATAGGGAGTGAGAACGCTATCCGTAGCAATTCAGATTAAAAGGTACGACTGCAACAAGGGGTGAAGGCTCACCATGGTCCTTGACTTCCCATCGAGCTTGGGATAGATCACGCCATACTCGCTCAGCATATGGGCAAATTGAGTCCAGTCGGCCGACCCAGCCCGAGAGGTCCGTGACTGCGCTAGGTAAATTCCTACGGCTGCATTAGCAGAAGAATTTAAGCGCGTGGAAAAATGTACCTAAAAAGAAGCAAGGAAATGATAGATAAAGTATCTACTTATGTTCCATGTTCCACCTCTCGGGGAACGGCATCCTTTCCACCGGAATCAGGTCCGAAGTCCTAACTCGAATAAAGTGGCTCATCCACCCTCCGTTCCCAACTTCTTCGATGCAAGCGAAAAGGGACCTCGAAGCTCGGTACTGAGCTTAATCAGACCCCCACGGAAGAGATGGGGGCTATACATCCTGATCAGGCGATCGAGGGTAAATGGCATGTCCTCAATCATGTTCACATAGTACCTGATCATGTAGACAATGCACCAGAACGAAAGGTGAATTTGGCCGAGGGTCACTTAATACCGTTGGCAGAAGTTAAGAATCACGGGATCTATCGGAGGTAAGGATGGACCCACCGGCCCAAGGGTAAATGGGTAAGTATATACACTGAGAAAATTGGCTTTATATGTAGTTATATCCTCCTCCCGAGAAGGGATCTCTACAAGCACCGCATCCCCCCAACGACAATCGATCCTCACCCTTTTGACGTCTGTTATAGAGCTAATATACTGAGACACAGGCTCACGACGCCCCGACTTCGAAGAAGGTCTCTCGACCTTGAAATCGGAAGCCATTGCAAAAGATCTTGGAACGCATTCCTCAACACAAGGAGGCACTACTGCTTTGACTTTAGATGGAAGCGAAGAGGAGGAGGTCACATTCTCCTAAGAAGCAGAGGTGGAAGTTTTCGCCATTCCTAAAAGATTTCAGAGGAGAAAGGGAAATTGCGTTTCGAAGAAAGAACAAAAGTGAAGGTAGAAGGAATCTTTTTGTGGGCTTGGTGGTGCAGTGAGTTATAAAGAATGCGAGAAGAGGTATTTATAGAGGCCCCACACGTGAGTTGAAGGAGGCCAAAGGACAACCAACCGCTGTAATCAATACGAAGGCTTTCAAGGGTTGTGTGTATGCGATCTTTTGGCACCTTATGACTGTCGTCGTTGCGGAAGTACCAGAGGGGCAGGAACTCGAGGTTGTTTCTTATCACTTTCGCTCTAAGAAACGCGGGGACTATCTGTATGCGGTAAAATCAGGGGGTCCAATTTTCTGTTGTTGCGATGCCTCGTAAGCACATTTCACAGGTTCGAGACTATGGTCGAGGTTCACCCCCGAGGGCTATCGATGCTCGACCTCGGGGCCGTGCAGACCAACGGTTATGATGAAAAAGTGGGGAGTTCCCAAAGCGCATAACTAGAGCTGACAAAGTCTGGTGAGCTAAGTTCAAACCCTAGTCATGACATCAACTAGCTGTCCCATCTTCATATATTTTTGTAATTAATGCATTTGTACTATGTTAGGATTTCCCCTCATATAGAAAGAGGATCATTATTACTTTGTAAGGATCTGTTGCTCAATACTAAATACACAAGAACATTCTCTTTGCTCTCTAACATATTCTGTTACTCTCATTACTCCCATTTATTGCTTACATTTGTTGTGTTCTATCTATTGTTCATCATTTATTGCCTATCATTGATCATAAAGAGTCATTGCCGTAGCTCTCATAAAGTGTTAGTCCTCCCTTGATCGCTCTAAGCCGGTTACCCAACTCGACCTCGAGGCATTATAATTGACGGCTCGAGGCCCCGATCTCCAACTGTTTGGTTCGACTGTCATACCGTTTCTAAGCTGTAATCTTGATCTCTAACCTTTTACCTAGCATCCATTGCTTAACAACTAGCATAAAAATAGTTCACGTATTTTTAGAACCTCATAATCAAATTTAATTGTTATTACCATTTTCATGGTAAACAACTTTTTCCCTACAAATAGAGGGGTTTTATCCCATTATAAATCATCACAAATAAATAAGAATTCTCTTTCTCTCTACTTTTCTATTCAATACTCTTCTTCTTCTTTTATTGTTTCATAATAAGTTCGTTTATCAAAGAAAAAAAACAACAGAAGGTACGGAGAGACGTGATACTGAATCATTAAATTAAAATGTCAAATAGATTATTAGTGCAACTTTCACATATTCCAAAATAAAGTTTGCCCCACCCAGCCCTAACACACTAATTTTTTTTTTAAAAAGCCTTCCCATGGCCGCCCTGCTCTATTTAAATCTTCCCCTGCCCTGCCCCATTTAAAGTTTGCGAGTTATAATATTTATCACTCCATGGCATCACTAAAGATGTTAAGCACTAGATTGTTCGGTCTTTACAAATTTTTTTTGTTTTATGCTTTTTGTTAATAAAAAAATTAAAAGTAACATAAAAGAGATCGACATTGTTTTATTCTATTTATTTAAATTGTAGAGGACTATATTCACCCCTTTCCTATCCTGGAGACCCAAAAGAGTCACCAATATTTGAGAAAAGACCAAAAATAGTCAAATATCTTTGGACTTTAACTCAAACTAGTCATATTTCTTTCACATGAAGCACCCATAATCCACATTCTTTAATAAAGTGGTACACTTTTTGTCTCCATATTTGACATGAAAATAAATTTTTTCCTAGAAAATGAGTGGTTATCATTTATTTTTCTTTGTTTAGTTGGTGAGTAACAAACTTTTTCCGATTTTTTTTTCTAGTGTTTGTTTAGAGAGTAAAAAATATTTTTTAGAAATTTTTAATGCTCTTTTCTTACCCCCTCCCCCTTATCCCAAATCCCCATGTTTTCCGTACTCCCCTTCTCTCTCCCCTCGTCCCTCCCCCCTCCCCCAATCCTAATTACCCAACGTTTTCAAGACTTTTTGTTTTTCAAGAATTTAATTATTCTTTTAAAAATTTACACAAACCAAAGGGACTAATGTGTTGCTTTACCTTTTCTCGCAAAAGCAACGTTGGAATTTGTGTTACACAACTAAAAGAAAATACTCTTTTTTTTGGTTGAAAAAGAAATAACTCTTTCTACAACTTGAAAAAAATACTCATTTTGTCAAAATGAAAGAAATTATTTTTTCTATACTATGAAAAGAAAATACTTTTTGCTATATCATTTTATTGAAATGAAAGAAAATATTTTTTGTACATCATAAAAAAAGAATAAGAGTTAACCCAAATAGCCGCCTACCTAACTACTTAAACTAAAAATAGCCGGTGGAGATATAATATATGTATAATGTATGTATTATATGTGTATAATTATGTATAATAAATGTGTAATTTATGTATATTGCTAGAAAATATAAACAGTGAAGAAAAGGGTGTGAAAGGTTGAAGAAAAGTTTTGAAAAACATTTTTCCTTCCCTTGACAAGAAAAATATTTTCGAGAAAGAAAAATATTTTTTAAAATATTTAAGCCAATCAAATATAAAAAAATTGAAAAATATTTTACTTATTTCATATCAAACATGGAGACTAAAAGTGTACCACTTACGTGCACTATTAATGCTCCAAGTGGTTTGGTCGAGAGCTCGTTTTGCGTTTTGTGCTGAAACTGGTGGGACTCGAGTACGGTATATTATCATATGAAAAATTTTATTTTGTGTACCACTTACGCGCACTATTAATGCTCCAAGTGGTTTGGTCGAGAGCTCGTTTTGCGTTTTGTGCTAAAACTGGTGGGACTCAAGTACGGTATATTATCATATGAAAAATTTTATTTTGTGTACCACTTACGTGCACTATTAATGCTCCAAGTGGTTTGGTCGAGAGCTCGTTTTGCGTTTTGTGCTGAAACTGGTGGGACTCGAGTACGGTATATTATCATATGAAAAATTTTATTTTGTGTATTATGCAACTGACATAGTTGCAGTAAGCTCTTCTTATCTCATATATTTGTGGACCTAAATTTCAAATTTGTGTGGACCCACAAGAAGTATAAGATTGAGTCCACGGAATAAAACTACTGTATAACTTGTATGATCCAACACACAAAATAAAACTTCTCATTATCATATCATGAATTTGGTATCCCAGCGATTCATTCTTCGTGTTGGATTTGCTTCTCAAACTTCAAGCAATCTCAAAGGAAGCTATCCCTGTTCAATCTCTACCCGTGGACGCAGAAGGCTCAGTGCAATTACTTTCTCCTTAGCTGCTCCAAAGGTAACATTGCTAGTAATATACAAAGATTCTGAGTTTTGTTTTGCAAACTTACGGTAATTAATATACATTTGGTGTTTTTGGTAAAAGTAGGCAGGTGAAGAGCTTTTAGTAGTAGTAGGGGGCGGAGCAGCTGGAATTTACGGTGCTATAAGGGCCAAGACTCTCGCTCCTCATCTTAAAGTTGTTGTTTTTGAAAAAGCCAAACCTTTATCAAAGGTTAGTTCTTTAAAGAAGGTATATCTAGACCATTTGGCATAGTTCATGGACAAATTTGACACTTTTCCCTTTGGAAACATCGCGAATTCTTGTGATTTCTTTTGTCAATAAGGGCAGACTCGGACCAATTTTTTAACGGTATGAGCATAATTGATCCCAACTAATAACAGAAGGCAAACCTAGACCATTTCGCATAGCTTAGCGACAAATTTGACCCTTTGCCCTTAAATGTATTGCAGCGATTATATAGCCGACTAAAGGGGAATGATTGTATGGAGGGTGGATATAGCCAACCCTTGCTTTGTTTGAGATTGAAGCATAGTTGTTGTTTTAAGAACTTTGAGAAATGTTGTATTATTTCTCTTTTGCTCATAATTCTTGAGGATTTAAATTGTGTTTGTAATGAGGAAAATGTGGTCTTTTGTTTTGGTAGGTTAAAATCTCTGGAGGGGGTCGTTGTAATGTGACTAATGGGCATTGTCCTGACAATAAGGTAAAGTTTTCTTTTTCAATTTAAGAATGTAATCTCCCTAGTATGTACAATTGGTGCCCGAAGCTTAAAGTTCTTGGAGTATGGCACTTGTGGAAGAGTGACTATTGCTTAACGGTAATTTTCGCCCCTTGATGGTTGGGGAATTCAATGTACCTAATAATTATTGTTCCTAAGATTGTATACCTTAAGGATTTGAAGATAAATGCATTTTAGCCTATGCTTTTTGCACATGACACATTGAAGTATGAATAGGTAATTCAGTTTGAATAAATACTTACTATTTTCTATTTGAAGTCTGAACTCCCTTTACCCAGATTTTGCACTCGCCTATTCTCATTGAGTAGGATGTTTGTCAGTTGCTCATTAGAATTATAAAATCAACTAAAATTAGCAAGACTCTAAGAGTGTGTGTGTTCTTTTCTTTTCTAAAATGTGCTGATAGTCGAGTCTCATTTTCAACTTCAGATATAGCAGCATATAAGTCAAGCTCACTCAAAACCAACCTCGTTTGCAGATTTTGGCAGAAAACTATCCAAGGGGTCATAAGGAATTCCGAGGCTCCTTTTTCCATATTCATGGTCCAATGGATACAATGTCCTGGTTCACAGATCATGGCGTGGCATTGAAAGTAATCTCCAAAACTACCCTTTTTATGTTTCTTTTCTTCTTATGATGCTAAGTAATTCTGCTGATTTGCCTCAGATTGAGGAAGACGGAAGGGTCTTCCCCACCAGTGATAATTCATCTACTATAATTGATTGCCTCATGTCCGAGGCAAAGAGGAGCGGAGGTAGATAAACTATCCCATCACAATTTTTTTTATCCTTTCAGAATTATTTGGGAGCATGTATGGTTGGATAAGCTTTTACTATTATTCACATTACTCGTTGTATATTCCTATCCTTGAAGTTCTCCAAGGGCATGGGTGCCTACATCCATTATCTAAAGTGTCTGATTGAGTAGCTTTGGACTTTCAACTCTTGTAATGTCACACTTCCCTAAAAGCAAAACGTTTTCTTTTAGCTCACGTGTATATCTGCATCTCTCTCTATCTCTCCCCACATGTACGCACTGTCACATGCTAATATGGTGTTACTCGTGTACTTGAAACCAAGTATTTTCCAAGAACATCTTGGATTTGAGACATGGGATCATTTATTTTCTTTGTTGTGGTAGAATATGGGAGGCAGAGTGGCAGCTTAAACAAATTGGAACAGGGAAATATGAACCTCATCTCTATTCACACTGCAAAAATATTAACCCAACACTATCCTCTTTGTAATCAATCTGCCTATAGCATCCATTGTCAACATGTTTATGAAATTGCTTCTGGGTTTAAACTACTGTATACCAAGGTTAGAAGTTAAAAAATCATCAAGTTAATGCCTATGTTAAGACTACCTGCACCTGGTATGTACTTATAGTATGTTTACCTTCTTTGTTTTGAAGTTTACTCAATTATCCTTTATTTATTTATTCCGTTTCAGTCACCAGTTTGAGATGGAAAAGTTCTGTCTAAACGGTAAAATAGTTCGAGATATTATCCTGCATTTTCTGTGCAATTTCTATGCAATATACCTTGTACTTGAGATTTTCTATGTAGTCTTGTTGCAGACAGGAAAAGTTGTTACTGGTGCATCTTCCACTGCTGATGGCAAGTTTGCAGTCAAGCTTGAGAAACGTAGCCTTGATTATGTGGAGCACGTTGAAGCTGATTATCTACTAATTGCTAGTGGGAGTAGTAAGCAGGTCAGTTTGGTTATGAGTTAGCAGCATTTTTGCATCCATTCCTTCACTTAATTTCCATCTTTTCCTGTTCAGGGTTACAATCTTGCCACTCAACTTGGTCATTCTATTGTGCAACCTGTTCCAAGCCTGTTCACTTTCAAGATTGATGACTCAAAGTTAGCAGAATTGTCTGGTGTAGGTTTCTCTACCATTTGCAGCCAATTGAGTGAATTCAGTCTTTGAGGTGTTTGCCTGCTACTCCTTATGTTTTATATCACATGAATGAAGATATAGCTAGTTGTTTATCGTCAATAATTCCTTCTTTCCTGAATTAAGGATATACTTAGGGAGATGCTTTATATGTCTCATAAGTGTTTTTTTTTAATAAATATTTTTGATTCAGATCCTGTTCGTTTTTTAATATAACCTGATTAATATTGGTATTAAGGATGACATAGGGCTGATCAACTATCAACTATCTGCAATGTGATTTTATTATCTCCTCTTTCTGGCATTTAATATGTCTTAGGATGCAGCTAGTGTCTTCGACTTCTATAGATGCTACCTTGCCTGCTTCAAATTTCTAATGTTCTATAAGTAACCAAGCTAACTCTTCCCTGAAATAAGTGCTAATTGCTCTAAGAACATGACAGTCTTATGTCCCCTGTAAAATGTACATTCACCTTTATGACATTTTAGATGATGCTTTGGCATTCTTTATCACAGGACATTGTCTACTGATTGTACTTTTTTGTCTAATGACATAGTGATCTCTGCTTTCTTCCTTAACAAAATTTTTCATTTAAATTATGAAGATTTTGTGGTTCACTTTTTTGTGTTTGAAAGTGAACAATATATTTTAATGTGTTTCAGACATCATTGCACTTCTGTGTTGATTCTTAAAATTGTTGTGACATACTTATTACACTTTTGAGTACATGAAAATATTCTTGCCTTTGCCTAACAATCTTTTTGCTTGTCACCCATAGGTTGCATTTCCAAAAGTTAAAGCAAAATTACACTTGGAAGGCATCCTGAAGAGTATACCACAGCTTACTCAGGTATGCATTTCAGATTGATGACATTTATTGGATAGAATTTTGGTACTGCAGAACAATAATCCTATCTTTTAGCTAGGGCCCATGCTAGTGACACATTGGGGACTCAGTGGGCCTGTGGTTCTTAGGCTATCTGCTTGGGGTGCACGTTATCTATCCAGTTCAGACTATAAGGGTAAAACATGTCTTCCTTTTTCTGTTTTTGTCGTTTTCTCTTCACCACAATCTTATCTCTTGCTAAATTTAGTTGCAAAAACATCCAGGTACGCTTTGTGTGGATTTTACTCCTGATCTCCATATTGAAGATCTAAAGTCCGCACTCATTTGTCACAAGAGTCAGTTTTTGGTAATACATTCTGTGACCTGCTTTGAGGTTTATGACCTTTTCATTATCTTGTTTGATTGCCCATATAGACCAGCTTTGTCAAAGACGGGAAACATATGGAAGAGATAAAAGCTACAGAAACTAATACTTATAATTATATTAAATCTTTGATTTATATATTGAGCAGCTTTATATACATGGATCCTTCATTTGGTTTGAAGTACCTGTGATGCGAGCGGGTATGGATTCTTTGGGATAGATTAAAAAAAGCAACAAAAAAAAAAAGTTGTATATTTCTCCACTTGGTACTTATACACACCCATATAAGATACAATCCATGGTCCATATAAGGTAGTCGTGCTTAAGCTTCTGAAGCAATTGATCGATCTTATCAAAAGAAAAAAGGTTCTGAAACTATTGATTGTTCTCTTATGTAAATAAGCTCTCATCATGACACCATAGCATATGATTGTATTGAATCTTACTTCACCACTTTCCTTATTGTTCTCTTCAATGCAGAGGCAGAAGGTGCTGAATTCTTATCCTTCCGAATTTGCGCTTGTGAAAAGATTTTGGAAGTATATATTAGATCGTGAGGTAAAAATGTCCACTTCAGTTGCAAGGATGTCTCTTGGCTTCTGCATCTGGATAAATTCTCAGAATGTTTGACGTCCACTTTTATTTTGTTATTTTTTCTTGATTAATGCAGGGCATATGCGGAGACATGCTGTGGTCTTCCATTTCCAATAATATGTTATTCTCTGTCGCTTCTTTGTTAAAAGATTGTGCATTTAGCGTGAAGGGAAAGGTATTATGGCTCCTTCCCATTTCTCAGTCATTTCTGCTTTTGACATCATTACTCTGACTGAAAAGAAACTTTCTGTTGCATCCTTGTTGGGGTAACGAAGGGCCAATTTAAGGATGAGTTTGTCACAGCTGGAGGTGTTCCACTTTCAGAGGTGCTCCCTTTTCTTTTCTTCCCATCTTATATGCTTCTCAATGCTGAGACCCTCTCAATTTTGCTAAGTTAATTTCTGAGAGTTGCAATCATTCTATTTCTTCAAGCAGATCTACCTTGATACAATGGGGAGCAGGATCCATTCGCATCTCTACTTTGCTGGAGAGGTTTGTCTCACTTAATACCTGCAGTTTACTTCTCTTCCTTCAGGTGCAAATGTAGGACACAGGTTACAGCTTTCCATATGTATTTATGATTCTTTGAAAATCTTGTAGGTACTCAATGTTGATGGTATTACTGGTGGCTTCAATTTTCAGGTAATGCAAGCATGATCTGAATCCACAGGGTAGTATTAATGGGAAAATTGCATCATGTTCTTTTTATTGTATACTTGATATATATGCATATATCTTTATGTCTGATGGTATACTATAAAAAGAGAAGAGTGACCTCTTTTTGTTTTGTAGAGAATTTGTTCAGCCAAATCTTTAGCTTATAATCATATTACTATTTGGTGCATCATTTGTCCGAAGATCATCAATGTATGTAAGTAGAAAATAAAATTGGAATCAAATGGATCCAAATGAATCGAAATAAATATCGAAGGTTCATATAGCCGAATGACTAGCTTGAGATTGAGGCATATTGGTTGTTGTATCAGTTCCACCACATGCACCAATAGGTCGACGTTTATTTTCTGCAAAAAAGTCACTGATTTTGATATTTGATGTTACATTACGTTATTTATGGAGTACTGATTACTCCTATACTATATTGCCCTTTTCTAAGATTTTACATTGAATTCTTTTGCAATTTCATTATCAAGTTTGATATATTGCTTCTATATTATAAATGTACTTTATGATGTACTACCTATTATGTTAGATGTAAACGCCTAGTTCAAACGGGATTATCTTTAATTTTGAGGGAACTGGCGTACTTGAAGCTGGTGGAGAGCAAGGAAGAGGATGAGAAGAGGACGAATAGGGATGGTACAAGAGGGCTAAGAAGGAGGCGAAGTTAGCGATTACGGTGGCTAAGACTGCAGCATTTGGACGTTTGTATGAAGAACTTAGCGACAAAGATGGGGATAAGAAGCTATACATGCTAGACAAGGTGAGAGGAAGGAAGGCCCGTGACCTGGACCAAGTGAAGTGCATCAAAGATGAGGAAGACGGAGTATTGATGGAAGATGCACATATTAGACGTAATTGACATATATACTTTCATAAACTCCTAAATAAAGAGGAGGACATGGATATTGTGTTGGGTGATTTGGAGCACTCTGAGAGCCATCGAGATTTTGGTTTTTGTGGGCGTATTAAAATTGGGGAGGTTGAGAGAGCTATGCGTAAGATGAGCAGGGGAAGAGCGCCCGGGCCAGATGAAATTCCGGTAAAATTTTGGAAGAGTGTGGGCAGAGCAGACTTGGAATGACTCACTAGGTTGTTTAACACATCTTTAGGAGGAAGAAGATGCCTGAGGAATGAAGGTGGAGTACGATGATTCCAGTGTACAAAAATAAGGATGATATTCAAAATTACAACAATTTTTTTTGATAAGTTAGGATTTTATTAAAAAGTACCAAGATGGTACAAAATTGCAACTATAGAGGTATCAAGCTGTTGAGCTACACTACAAAAGTTTGGGAGAGGGTAGTGGAAGCGAGGGTGAGGAGTGTGTCTATTTTCGAAACCCAATTTGGATTCATGTCGGGACATTCGACTACGGAAGCTATTCACCTTTGTAAGGAGGTTGGTGGAGCAGCATAGGGAGAGGAAGATGGACTTACATATGTTGTTCATTGATGTAGAGAAAGCATGCGACAAAATACCGAGAGAGGTTTTATAGAGATGTTTGTAGGCTAGGGGTGTTCTTGTTGCTTACACTAGAGTGATGAAGGACATGTATGATGGAGCTAAAATATGTGAGAACTGTGTATGTGTATGTGTGTGGG